CCCCAAAACCCCAAAACCCCAAAACCCCAAAACCCCATTTTGTAAATGGGTTATTGAGAATAATTAAATATCAGTTGGGTATGCTCCCATCAAGAAACGAGCATCTCTAATTGTAGTCAAACAAGAGCCTCGTTTTTTCACATTATTCAAGTTTCTTTCTTTTGATGTTGGTATCAAGGTGTTTCTCTTTAAAGGCTTATTCTTGTTTACTGAGATCTTTGGGAGGAAAGAGTTATCAAACCTGGGTATTTTATCATTTGAATAATTCAAGCTAATGTTCAAATTCTTCTTGGCCTTTGGCTTTGAAACATATTTTGCTTGATAAACAGGATTCAACTTAATAATCCTCCTTCTCTGTCCTATAAAGTTAGCATTAAATAATTACTTGAAGGACTATTTGCTAAATAAGAATCAAGCTGCTTCTTCATGCTCAAATTATTCTCTGTCTGTGGTTTGCCAATAATACTCTGAATACTTTGGTTATGCAAGGTTCTTTTGAGAGTAAGGTGAGAATCTTGCTTTCTGACCTCTGACCGTTGAGTCTGATAATCCTCCCTGATAGTTTTCTGGTTCATTTTATTAACTGCGACACTAAATGAATGCCTCACATCTATTTCATCTGGGCTTCTATCGGCTCTATTTTATTTTATTTTTCAAAGAATTCACGGCTATTTTCTTATGTTTCATGTGTGTTAAATAAGTCTTTATCCTAAACCCGTACTCCTTCTCTTTTGAGATACAGTTCTCAGTAAATCTATTCCATGCTTCTTCATCATTCTTCATGTACTTCATAAATTCTCATTTTTTGATCCTCAAGATTTGCGCTTCTTGGCTACTAGTAATAACAGTAACTGACGATTTTCGATCAAATCTAGCATCCCCATCTCAAAACAGCTTGCATTCTCCCAAATTGGATAGGCGGATTTTTCTCTTAACCCTGCTAGGATTATGCCACTCAGTAGTGAGCTTCTTAGCCCTACATCGCTTAAGGTCCTCATGCTTCAGAAGGGGTCTAATCAGGTTCTTTTCTTCATTTTGGTTATTTTTCCTCTTCATCATCCTTGCCAAGGTATTTATGGATTTCAAATTCGCCTTCTTTGACAATATACACGTATTCTACTTCATTTCCTTCTTCAATGATCTTCTGGCCTCTGAACGTGTCTATTTTCTCAACGGCATAGTATAGCTTGCTGAGAGCATTCTTCGACCAGTGGGAGATAAACGGGATCTGCTTGAGGAACTTAATCATGGCATCTTTGTGCTGCTGTTGGATTCTAGCCAGCACTTTCTGATAGTTCTCCTTATTTACAGTTGCAAATTTACAATCTTCCTTACAAATAATCCGAGCTTTACGTTTGCCATCTCCTGTGTTAAGGAGAGCAAGCTCTCCGAAGCTTGAGCCAGCCACTAGTTTGGCAATTTCAAAGAAGTTTAACAGCTCTAGTAAAGCCTGTTGGCCCAGCTGGGTCTGCTCGAATATGCTAAGTTTTCTCGTCCGTTCTCCACTCTCTATAGAAACGGTTAGTGCTGACTAATTTCAAGGAGTTTTGGAAAACTTACTCTTATCTGGAATTAAGATAGAAACTACACCTGAAAGGATGATATAAAACAAATCTCCCTCAGTGCCATAGTCAAAGACTAGGTCTCCCTCTTTAATCTCAAGGAGGTCCATGCACTGGGCTAAGTCAAGGAGGTTATTTATCAGGCATGTTTTGCTCCTTTATAAATTTAAGATTTCGAATCACTGATGCTGTTTTCTCATTATCCTTGTGTGATCTCTGGGAGCTTGGTTTATTTAAAATCGTTGATATAGTGTCCTAAATAAAACTTAGCAACGTAAGCTGAAAATAACGATATGGCTTAAAATGGTAAACCTGCAAAATGAGGAGTATGTAGCTTCTGGATTAGATCCATTGTTACTAAGGATTGAATTAAAGTAGTTCAATGGAGTGGTCCTCATTACAAAGTTCGTACCAAATCAATATTGCCTCCACTCATCTACCCTGGAGTTTCGCTTTATTTTATATTATTTTGCAAAGGGGTTTTGGGGTTTTGGGGTTTTGGGGTTTTGGGGTTTTGGGG